ACTAGGAGATCAGTGGTCTTTGTCCTTGGGCTCCCAGATGCCTCTGGGAGCCACTGAAGAACCAACACACAAGGGCATACGACTGGACCAGCCCGCAGCCCCAAGAGGGATGAGAGAGAGAGAGAGAGAGAGAGAGAGAGAGAGAGAGAGAGAGAGAGAGAGGCTGGGTGGGGGGTGGGGGGAGGGGGGGTGAGAGACTCTTGGTTACAGTACTCGATTGGCTGGCTTGGCTAGCTTGCTTGAGTTGGCGGCCTTCGGATTAAGCAGCAGCTCGGTAGTCAAAGGCCTTCTCCATGGTTCCCCACAGTGGGGCCCCAAAGACACAAAGAAGTCCATGGTTTTAAAAGATTTATTGTCATGGCAGAAAGTGTATCTAGCTGTACCCCCCATACCCCCAGGGCAGGCCTTTGGTTAAATACTGTTGTAAGGAGGAGGGTCTGGGAAGGAATGTTTAATTAGCTATGCCCTCTGACCTTTAGATATCTTATTAATATGGAGATCTCTTGAAGCTCTGCAGTCTGTAGGTATGCCCTCTCCCAGTGGAGGGGCTAGTAGGGGCGTTGCCCTACATGACTGAAAGGCACTGATCAATGGAGGTCTTCAGCCTCCTGTCAGGAGCTTGGAGTCTGGGAGTGTGGTGAAATGTATGCTGTCCCTTGTAGGAATCTCTAGCCAGTGCTGCACCAGAAACCAAGGTATACTTTCACAGTCCCACACATGAGCATGGGAGATCTTTCCATCTTCTGAGAGCTTCTTCAATTTCTTTCTTCAGAGAAAGTTCTTGTCATACAGATCTTGCTTGGTTAGAGTGACACCAAGATATTTTATATTATTTGTAATTATTGTAAAGGGTGTTGTTTCCCTAATTTCTTTCTCACCCTGTTTATCCTTTGAGTAGAGGAAGGCTAATGATTTGTTGGAGTTAATTTTATATCCATCCACTTTGCTGAAGTTGTTTATCAGGTTTAGGAATTCTCTGGTGGAATTTTGGGAGTCATTTAAGTATACTATCATATTATCTGCAAATAGTGATATTCTGACTTCTTCCTTTCCAATTTGTATTATTTTGACTTCCTTTTGTTATCTAATTGCTCTGGCTATAAATTCTAGTACTATATTGAATAGATAGGGAGAGAGTGAGCAGCCTTGTCTAGTCCCTGATTTTACTGGGATTGCTTCAAGTTTCTGTCCATTTATGTTGATGTTGGATACTGGTTTTCTGTATATTGCTTTTACTGTGTTTATGTATGATCCTTGAATTCCTGATCTGTCCAAGATTTTTAACCTGATGGGGTATTGGATTTTGTCAAATGCTTTTTCAACATCTAATGAAATGATCATGTGGTGTTTTTTTTTTTAGTTTATTTATACAGTGGATTACATTGATGAATTTCCATTTATTGAACCATTCCTGCATCCCTGAGATGACACCTACTTGGTTACAGTGAATGGTGATTTGATGTGTTCCTGGATTCAGTTTGTGAGAATTTATTGAATTTACTTTTGTCTATCTTCTTAAGCAAAATTGGATTGGAGTACTCTTTTCTTGTTGAGACATTATGTGGTTTGGATATCAGGGTAACTATGGCCTTATAAAATAAATTAGGTTGTAGTCCCCCTGTTTCTATTTTGTGGAATTGTTTGAGGACTTTTGGTATTAGCTCTTCTTAAAAAGTCTGGTAGAATTCTGCATTAAAACCATCTGGTCCTGGGTGTCTTTGTTTGAGATTTTCAATGACCGCTTTTATCATAAAATAAATATGTTAATAAACTATTTTTGCACAGATTAATACATATATTTTAGGGAAAATTCTTGAAGCTATGCTTTATCTGATATCAATATCATGTGTGGATGCATGCATGTGTGCTCTCTATTACTCTCTATTTGACATTTATCAGAAAGCTATCAAAGAGAGCCATATTTTAATTTGATTCTAGTTTAATTCATGTTACTCTAGCTCTCAGCATTTTCTAATATGTAGTAAGAACTGGACTCAGAAATCCCCACTGTCTATAATTCAGAGAAGAGACAAACAGTACTTTAACACTTGTGCATCCTTACACACATAAGGGTCCAAATCCATTTTATTTAAATACAAAGTTAAATAATGGCTTACCAAGAATTTTGTCTATTTTGGTGATTCAGTGAGTTTGCATACATTGTTTTATTTTTTATATCAATTTTGGCTTATCTAAAAAGAAATCTCTCATAACATTTTCATATTTTATATAAATATGAAATAAATAAATAAATATTATACAAATATTGTGACATTTATTGACTTCCTTTGCCCGACTTCCTTACTCCACCCGTCTCTGCTCTCCTCATCTATTCACAAAACTCCATATTTTTTTATGATTAAAGCATTCACATATTTTACCAGATTGATATAATATTCAAGGAACATAGTTTTTGTTTTCAGCTTTAGATTTTCAGAAGCTAGATCAAATTGAGTCAATACTTATAAGGTAGAAATGAACTTGTATACCCATAAGGTAAAAGTAATAATAAGAAAATAATAATGGCAACTTATGGGTCCTCCTACAGTCAAGTCCTATAAATAAATACCTTTTGCATCTATATTTGTGATAGTTTTATCTTTGTTGCAGATTAAGTTAATGAAGTTAATTAAGATTTATTGTCAGTTTTCTCTTGATGCAATAAAACTAACTCTGCCATACATTTAACTTTAAATTTCTCTCTCTCATCTTTAAGCAATGAAACTCATTTTTATAATATAATTGTATACTAACATACATAATTCCGATACAGACAACGGAGCAAGTTTACTTACAGCAGAGGTCTGACATGTATTGAATTTCTCTTTACTTCTTGAAAGTGATGCTCTGAAACTAAGACAGACTCTCAAGTTCTCTAGAAAATTAATTTTCTACAGCTCTAATTTGAAGTAACCTCAACCCACTGTACTGTCAAGTCATATGTTGATGTCTGAACCACCCCCCCCCCCCGAGATTAAATTAGGAAATGAGAGATTTGGCAGGTGACTGGTCTTGAGACATAATCCTTATGAATGAATGCCATAAAAGAAAACAATGAAGAAATTCTTATGAGATACCATTGAGTAAATATTTTTATTTCTAATAATTCAAAAAGAAAGGAAAGGAAAGAGATAAGGAAACCTTTTTAATTAAATAATAATTATAAATTGTTAAAACCATGGGGGAAATACAGGCATGTGAGCCCACAAAGCCCAACGGATCTTAATTACATTCAGACCATAGGTCATCTTGTAGGTACAGTATACTCAGAAGCTCTAAACCCAAGTTAGAGAGGAAAGCATCAAGTCACAGTTAGAGAAACACCAAACAAACTAAGCAAGTTCTTGCCAGGCAAGGAGCAGGCAGTATGACATACTTGAGATCTTAAGGAAACAACACACTCTTCTCTTAAAGAGAATGAAGCAGTGAACTTACCATTCAGATATGGATAAAGAAATCAAGAACATAAGAACCACATCACCAATATAGGAACCTTACACATAAAAAAGTAAGTAAGCAAGCAAACAAAAAATACCAAAACCAAAACAAAACAACAAAAGCAACACCTTGAAGGAGCCCTACATTGGAAAGAAAAAGGATGAAAATTAACATCATTAAACATGGAAAGTCCAGCCATGTGGTAGTGGCCCATACCTTTAATGTTCCAGCACTTGGGAAGTAGAGGCAGGTGAATTTGTGAGTTCAAGGCCAGCTTCGTCTGCAGAGCAAGTTGTACACTGGAACAAAGGATATGTAACATATCCAGGTAAAGTTTTTAAATTACAAGAAATAATGTCAAATAATGTAATATTAAACACTTTCATTTAAAGATTTATAAACCAGACATAGATATGAGCTGGAAGGATCTGCTACCTGCAAGAGCATCATTTTGATAAAGAAAAGACACACGAAGGAGCAAGTGTGACACATTGCCACTAAAATGGGAACACAAAGTCAGCGGGGGTGTTTGTGTTTGTGCCACACTGAGCCTGGAGGAGCTCCGGGATTCATTCCAGTAGAAAAAGACTTTAAATGAAACACAAGAAGATTCCATACCAAACACATAAATAACTAATAGCAGTGCCTCTGGGGAATTATGGAGTTGGCCTGATCCAGCTACCTTGAGAGATGCACACCATGGGATTTTCAAGTCAGAGCCCATGGCTTCCTGGGCAGTGTGCCTTTCAGTTCCTGAGAAACCGAGGTACTCCTTCAGGCAGCGAAGCATTCATGCCACCTTTTGATTCTTCATGTTTCCTAGAGGCCGACAAACCACATAGAATCTTGACAGGACAATTGGTCTTAGTCATTAATCTTGTGTACCCTGCAGAGCTTGAAAAGCATCACTGCATCCAGGCAACCAGCATTATACTCTGTTTCTGGTGAGAGTATAAAAAGTCTGATTGCTTGTAATAAACTTGTCTCCAGATCAGTCTTGCTGAGACCTCTCCATCCTGGCCTTGTTAAGATTCATTTATCATCGGCCATATAGAGCACCCTTAGCCCAGTTACTAAGTACTAGAACTTACAAGTACTCATCAAATAGCCTATGAAATACACTCAAAGGTATTATAAAGACCTACTATGAGCACAATAGCCACTATTCTATACAGATTTAAGCCATACTCTCAGAAAGTCCTCGTCTTGGAAGACCATCATTCATTATGAAGGCAAATGACATATATTAAAATATTAAATATATAAACATACATTTTTAAAAGTAGAAAGTATCCAAATGTTTTTTTATATTTATAGGAAAGTAGATAATGGCAATGCTATAGAGGACATATGTAAAATTAATACAATGTTAAATTTATATTTCTTCAATGGCTTTTCTTAAAATGTAAAAATACACCTTCCAAAGTATCTTACTCAAGTATGAGATTCTAATTAGCCAATAATATCAATAAACCAATAAAAAAGAGCTCAATGTACATATGCTCTGTTCTTTCAAGAAATAATTCGATTCATGTCATAGCTGAGAGAAAGCTTAGACAAACCTCATATGTTGTAGGGCCAGGAGAAAACTCATCATGAAATTCTTCAAAACGCTTTGGTCCTTTAACGAATGAGACTATGGCACCAGACTTCATTAAAATAGGACTGTATGTTGCAGGTCCTAACAGGAAAAAAAAAAAACATAAATTTAAAGTAGGTCTACACTTACTGGCTTTTGTTAGTTAGCTATTACTCTTAGGTTTCTGTTCATAACCTACAAAATAAGAAACATATGTTCTGTAGTTTATCTAAACAGTTAAGGACTTTGAATCATGATAGGCATAGAATAATGTCTATTTGTTCAGTTGTTAAATGTATTATGAAAACAATTTCAAAAGGAAAACAAAACTTCTTCCTCAAGATAGACATCATAAAAAATACACTTCACCATTTATTTCTCAAATATTGAATTCCATTCAGTGAGGGGTCATGGCAGCTGCATTTAGAAGGATTAAGAAGAATCAAAGAGACAGAAAAACAGGTTATGCCTGTACTTCCAACTCCAGGGAATCTAATCTTCTGGCTTCTGCTGGAACACACGGAAGGAAGAAAGAACAAAAAAGAAAGGAAGGAAGGATAGAAAAAAAGGAGGGAAGGAGGGAGGGTGGACCTTTTTCAATGGAGAAAACAAAAAGATATAGAGTATCTATGAAAATAGTAATCTTACAAAAGAAATGGCCCAAAGAAAGGAAGCATGGAAGGGAGACATGAAAGAGGAACATCGTGAGTTTGCTAAGAATGAGATATGCATGAACACTGTCAATGTGTCCAAGTAATAAGATCAAAAAGACACAGCTCAGTAGGAAACTAATCTGGAGACCAAGAATCCACTTAATCACTTAGAAGAAATGGGTGAGACTAAAAGTTGAGAGACCAACAGAAGAAAGGGGGAGTGAAGAAAACGACAGAGAGAATCTAGTGAACAGATTGTGACTATATTTATACAGCTTTATTTATTTATGTACATACTCAAAACTGCCCCTACTCTCAGCTCCTGCCTCAGAGAGTCCCTACCCCATCTCCTATCTCTTTGTCCTCTGAGAGAGTAGAGAATCCCTATGTATACTTCCACCTGGGCACATTAATCTCTGCCAGATTAGCCCCAACCTCTCCCATAGAGGCCAGACAAAGCAGCCCTGTGGGGGAATTTATACCACAGTCAGGCTACAGTTTTAGGGAGAGCCTCCACTACAGTTGTTGTGGGACCCATATGGAGACTGAGCTGCATCTGCTACATATGTGCTGTAGGCCTTATGACAGTCTGTGTATATTCTTTGGTTGTTGGCTCAGTCTCTAACAGCTCCCAAGGGTCCAGATTACTTGACTATGTTGGTCTTCCTGTGGAACTTCCATCCCCTTCATGGCCTTCAATCCTTCCCCCAGCTTTTCCATGAAAGTCTCTGACTTCTGTCCAGTGTTTGGTAGTGTGTACCTGTATCTAACTTAGTCAACTGGTGGGTAGAGAATCTCAGAGAACAGTTGTACTAGGCTCCTGTCTGCAAGCATAAAGAGTATCTTTAATAATGTCTGGGATTGGTGTTTGCCAATGGGATGGGTTTCAAGTTGGGCCAGTTCTTGATTGGTCGTTCTCTCAGTCTCTGCCCCATCTTGGTTCGTGCATTTCTTTTAGACAGGACAAATTTTGGATCAAATGTTTTGTGGGTGCGCTGGTATCCCCATCCCTCCACTGGGGGTCCTGCCTGGCTCCAAGAGGTAGCCTCTTCACATTCCATGTCACCACAGTTAAGCATCTTGGCTAAGGTCACCTGCATTGACTACTGGGAGCCTCTCCCATCCCATGTCTCTGGAACTTCATAACTTCAATCTCCTGGCACTCTGGGCCTCTCTCATCTCTCCTCCAGAAATTCTTTTATTGTTCAGCATTATATTGGCTATCCTGGGTTTTTTGTTTCACCATATGAAGTTGAAATTTGCTCTTCAATGTCTGTAAAATTGTTTTGGAATTTTGATGGGGATTGCATTGCATCTATAGATTGCTTTTGGTAAGATAGCCATTTTCACTATGTTAAACCTTCTTCACCTGCTTGATTTTATTTTCCTGTATTCCTTTAGGGGATTTATTTGTTTCCTATATAATGACTTCTACATGTTCAATTGTGTTTCTTGTATTTCTTTAAGGGAATTATTTATATCCTCTTTAAATGCCTCTTATCATCTTTATCAGATGAAATTTAAGGTCAGGATTTTGCTCTTCAGATATGTTAGAATATCCAGGGTTTATTGTAGTAGGCCAACTGGGTTCTGATGGTGCCATGTTGCATTGGCTTCTGTTGGTTATGTTCTTGCATTTGCCTTTCATCACCTGGTTGTTTCTGGTGTTAGCTGGTCTGGGTGTCCCAGGTTGGAGCAGGCCTCTGAGGAGGCAGATGGAGATGTGGGGTGGGGAGTAGTTAGTTCTCTGATCAGTAACTGCAGATGTAGGGACAGACTCGAAGGAGCATGGAGCCCCAACACGGCAGGGCAGAGTTCACTGCTGCTTGGCTGTCTGGAGGCCCAACAGGTGTGGGATTGGGGTAGGGTCTCGCCTGTGTGTCTCAGATTAAAGCAGACCTCCTGGGAGGCATGCAGAGTTGTGGGGTGGGGTGCAGTACACATATCTGTGACTGTGTGTTTGGAGTTATATTCAGTAGGGGTTTAGAGCACCATACTCCACCTCAGAGATCTATACAACTTAATAGTGTAAACATAGGTTAATTTGCTCCACTTATAATCCATCATTAACCAACATTCACAACATCTGTCCCATGCCAAATCCTGTGTTCCTATATGAAGTCAAGCACTTCAAAACATAGGCCTTCATGGAAGACTTCCTGAGCATGTATGTGAGAAGTACTTCAGGACAGTTGTGATGACTGAAATTTCAACAGGGAAATAAGAGATACTTCAGCAATACAAAATAATTCGGGGCTTAGAATATCATCAATGAACATATACAGTGATATAGTAAAGTACATACAAAGACATTAATGGAACATAAATTTAATGGCTTCTTTAGCTCTAGCCAACAGTCATTCAAAACTATATATATATATATATACATATATATATATATATATATATATATATATATATATATATATATTTGTGAGCATGCATTCCTTATTCTTTCAAGTCTAATAGCTTTTTAAGATTAATGCATTCACTTGAATCATTTTGATTTTTTTTATTATAGTACAGCATTTAAAAATTTGGAGAGGACATCCAGGCTCTAGTTCAAACACTCCAAATCAAGTGAATTAAGTTATCAAAAGTTATAAACATCATTGAAGAAAGCTAATGGATAATGACCTACCAAGGCACATGTATTTTAACATATCTCTTCTTACTGTAAAGTAACAGTATAAGTGACTCTGGGATAATGTAATTTGTATGGAACTAGAATGTAGTCGAATAACAAATATAATTTAAGCAAAATATCTTACGACAGACTTTCATTTACAAATTCAACTATACATAGAAAAATGCATGTATTGTTACAGTAACCAGAGAAGAACTGCTATTGAAACTATGTGTAATTCCAGTTGGTTAATTGACAATTGCAACTGTACTGACCTTGATTGACAAAGGTTAATGCAACTGGTAAGGCTATTATCCAAACATTATTTTATTGAGACATTTTATTTCCAATTATGAAGAAACTTAGTCTACCCTCTTCACTCACTACTATGCTACAACAATAGGTAAGTGTGTTTGATAACTGCTACACAGGATTCTTTATATATTCTGCACATATATGTATACATTCTGCATACATGCATGCATACAGATATACAGAAGAAATTATTCAAGTATAATTCAGTGGATTTGCTTCTTTTGTTGAAATTCCTTTGAGGAGTATTAAGTAAAGAAAATTATTTCATCATTCATCTTCTTGCATTTTAGCACTTGGTCTGTTTTAAGCTACAGAGTATTAAAAAGGTTTATTCCACTTTGCCTTAAAATATATTTCCAATTATGTGTACTTCTGCTCATATGATACAGGTCAAAGACTTACATCACTACAGCAGCTCTGATTCACAGCTGGATTATGCAGACTGCATCTCCTATTTATATACCAAAATGCCACGTTTTAATCACAGGTTTTAGAAGAGGAAAACTCCTCATCCAACACCTATGAAAAGTCTGCCTGAATCCTGACTGGTATATAATAGGAAATTCCATAGCAGGTGATTCTTATAATTACATATTTTCCAGCCCTCTGCCAATTCAGTCTCTATGAAATGTCACCCAATGCCACAGGGCAAAAACAGAAGGGAACAGAAACACTGAGTAATCTAAAATAAAATCTGTGCTCACAGCCCTTCAGTGTGACCATTTTGGTACATAAGAGTGGACTCTAAAATAACCACTTCTATATAAAGCTGGAAATCTTTGATTAAAAAAATGGCTGTCTCTATACTGAGTCAAAATTTAGAAATCATGAAATCATTCTTATGAATAATAAACTCCTTGTCCTTTAAAATGACAGAAACACACTTAAAAGTAAATATTTCCATGTAAAGGCACAGTTTTATGAATTTAAAAAATAAGAAAATTGCTTATTTGAGTTGCATGGTTTTAAAGTACCAGTTACAGAGTTCGTATTTTATACAACTTATCTTCTCACAGTGATTTGATTATTTGATTTTACTAATGAAAAAATGTCAAAGACACAAAGATGAGTCCACCAAGCACGCCATCAGTACCAGAGACAAGATTGATTGGCTGGTTGCTACTGTATCTAAGATTCAATTTGATTCAATGGCACTTCAGATTATGAATCAGTGTCACAGTCTATTAAACTGAACTTTCAGATAATGAAGAAAAATGCAGTCTAAATCTACATAAATTTTAAATAAAATTCTCATGTCTGTGTTTACTCTCTAATCAACTTCTCTGTCCGAAATCAAACTTATGTTGCACACGTGTTCTGTTGGTTGCAGGTTTCAACCTATACTTAATGAGCCAACTCTCCTGCCCAGCACTGTTACATATTCAAAGACAGAAGGCATAAAGATAATGATTCTCTACATATTTCCTTAAATATTGAATATTTACATCTTAAGGATGATATCTTAGAGTTATTACAGAGCCTCTGGAAATGCTTGTCAAAGGTTCATA